TTCTTTTAATCTATAAACAATATTGGTAATGACCTATAGTAAAAATATTAATTGCAGTTGTTTGAGCAAGTTGTTAATTGAAACTTTCCCCATGCATCATTTATAAATTTAAACTTTACATAAGGTATAATATGAATGTCACTATCAAGTCCAACCTAGGAAGAAATAAAATCATAGGGATGGAAAATAAACAAGGTGTAATAGAAAAAATCAGAACCCAAATATCTAAGATAACAAATGAATATTATAGTGACCTCTACACCTCTAAAAACAGTCCACTGATACAACTCAACAAAACCTGAAAAAGAAAATAATGAATGTAAACTCTAACATATTACCCCCCATAACCGGAGAAGAAATAAAAAAAGTAATTAGAGATATGAAAAGAAATAAGGCTCCGGGAGACGATGAAATTCTAATTGAAATGTTAAAGAAGGGGGGGGAAAGATAAAAGACTACCTAAAGATACTTTTCAATAAATGTTTGTTGAAGGACAAATGCCGCAAGAGTGGAACAAGGCTAATACAATTCTGATATATAAGAAAGGAAACAGATCAAAATTAGCTAACTATAGCCAATATCTCTCTTGTCACAAATCTATAAAACTTTCACTAAAGTGATCACAACTAGACTAAACAACAAATTTGATGCATACCAACCAGTTGAGTGGCAGGATTTAGAAAGGGGTACAGCACAACTGACCACCTTCAAACTCTTAAAATATCGATAGAAAAGACCAACGAATACAACCTTCCAATATACCTAGCGTTTGTTGACTATTAAAAAGCGTTTGACAGCATAGAACTATGGGCAGTGGAAGAAGCGCTAGTTAATTGCCGAATATATTCACGGTACAGAATGTTCCTCCTCCTCCTAAGTGCCTTCTCTATTGAGGTTGGCGATCAATATGGCAAATTTCTCTGTGTTCTGGGCTTGATGGATTAAGTCATTTCCTGTTGTGTGAGTCCAATCTCTGATGTTTCGGAGCCAGGATTTCTTCTTTCTTCCTATACCCCTTTTACCCTCGATTTTGCCTTCTAATATTACCTGGAGCTGCTCAAATTCCTTATGGCGCATTATGTGTCCTAGATATGAAGTCTTTCTAATTTTGATTGTATTAACCTGATGAGGTCGTGTGTTCATTATTTCCAGAACAGAATGAACAGAACAGAATGTCAATCCACAATATATATTAAAATGTCACTATGAGAATTCAGCTAGACAGAGATTGGCAAACACCATTAATTAGAATTTGTAGAGGTGTCAGACAAGGTGATACAATCTCACCCAAACTATTTACTCTTTCATTGGAAGACATTTTTAAATCTATAGACTGGGACAATAAAGGGATTTGTATAAACGGGAAATATTTAAATCATCTAAGATTCGGATGATGTACTCCTGATAGAAAGAACTATGGAACAACTACGAATAATGATTTCAGACCTACAGAAAAAACATCTCTTGCGAAAGGACTAAAAATGAATCTAAAGAAAACTAAAATAATGCTAATACAGAAGACAGATCAGTAATTACCATAGGTGGAACAGACATAGAACACGTCCAAGAATATATTTACTTAGGACAAGCTATCAGAGCAGACAAAAGTAACCAGACTAAAAAAAAAACCAGAATAATAGGAATGGGGTGCGCTGTATTCGGAAAACTCTCATATACTATCAAAAACCAAAAAATACCTTTAAAATTAAGAACGAAGGTATTTAATACATGCGTCCCTACCTGTTGTGACATATGGTGCCCAGACGTGGACGTGTACCAAGAGCAAATTAGATAGAATAAAGAAAACTCAAAGAGCTATGGAAAGACAAATGTTGGGAATATCGTTGAGAGAATAAAAAGAGGAACGAGTGGATAAGATGCAAAACCGAAACAACAGACCATGCATGCTGTCGAACATGCATTGAAATTAAAATGGAAATGGGCTGGACATAATGAAAGATATCAGGATACGAAGATGGAATAAAGAAATGGGCTGCTGGAGACCATATACTGCAAAAAGGTCAAGAGGTCGACCGCAAATGAGATTTAAAGATGACATTGAGCAAAGTGCAGGTCCAATGTAATAAAGACAAACAGAACAAATGGAGACAAATGGGAGAGGCCTATATTCAACACATGAATAGATTTTGGGCTATAGATAGACAGATAGATAATATGAATGAATTAATATAATAAACTATTAGATATTTTTTACTTTTTGTAAATCTAATTGTAATACTGCATTGATTATTTACTAATTCCAATTTCCAAATATAAAAGATAACACATGAAGCAGTCCTAAATAATGAAAACAAATAAATTAAATAACTATGCTGCAAGATTAGCAAAAAAACTAGCATACTAGATGACCTAATGAAAAAAAAAACAATTCCGACAGCACCAGCAACAAGATGGAATTATAACACGTGAACTATCAGAATAAATTTATGAAATCAAAGACCTTCAAACAAATCGTAAACATCCAGACATTTGTATATTATTTTTAAAGTTTAAATTTTGTTTCTAAGTCGCATTGATTTTATGAATTTATTGCATATGACAATAAACTTATCTCATATTTCTTTTATATTTTATTTATATAGTAACAACACAACACAGAAAATAGATCCCACAACATCCGAAGATATACGATACGACGAGGAGTGCGACAAGGTTGCGTCTTATCACCGCTATTATTTAATCTGTATTCGAAATCTATATTCAGAAAAGCATAAGACGAGGTTCAAGGTAAAATCAAGATTAACGGAACCAGCATAGACAACATCAGGTGCGCTGATGATACCGTCCTAATAGCAAGCAACGCACAATAACTACAAAATATAATAAATGCGGTAATTCGTCATAGCGAAATGTTCGATTTACATCTAAATGTTGCCAAAATGTTTTCTCTGTTTTGCTGTATGGCCTTGAAAGTTTGACAATAAAGTCTAAAACAGAAAATAGTATAGATGCATTTGAAATATATATTACGTATGTTAAGAATTCCATGGATACAAAAAGATACCAATGGCGAGGTACTTCGGCGCATGAATACGAAGTACAAAGTACTTACAAAGAACACAATGTAAACAAAAAGAATTACTTAGCATAATCAAAGAGCCAAAAATATAATACTTGGGTCATGTGTTGAGAGGTGAAAGATATGAATTACTCCAAATCATATTCGAAGGTAAAGTGCAAGGCAAAAGATCATTAGAAGACGCTATAACACGTGGCTGAAAGACCTGAGGGTATAGTTTGACTGCTTATCCACAGAAATCTTTCGTGCAGCAGTTTCCAAAGCTACAATTGCCATTTGTATCGCCAACCTTCGAAAGGACTTCAAATTTAGACAAAAAAAGGGACCAAAAATGTTTCGCTTGCGGCGCTTATTCACAGTTTCTATAATTACATTCCTTAATTAAACACCCTTTTTAAATTATCACGAGCAGCCACTGTATGAAACGATATGTATAATTGGGCTACCAAATAAAATTAACGTGACAACGAGACAACCAGATGTAAGCTATTCAAAGGAGTAAGTTTTGGTTTGGCTGCATTCGGAAAAATGAGAGACGTGTTTAAAACAAAATGTCCTAATTCATTTAAAAACGAAAGCTTTCAACCAATGTATTCTACCAGTTCTTACATAGAAAGTAGACACCTTAACTCTCACAAAAACATATATAAGTGGAAAAATTGAGGAGAAAACAACGTAACGTATGTTGAAAGAATGAAAGATGGCAAGTGGACAAAAACATTGCTTGAGTAAAGATTACGGACAGACAAGCGAAGCTGTGTAATGCCCCCAACATGATGAACCAATATCAAAGAGTTGCGAGCAATTGAATAGCAGAAATGGATAAAAATATATAAAAAAGGTAAATGTTCAATAATGGAGAAATCAGAGCTGATTAACAATGATATGATGCTAAAATCCAGTTCCCTAATATCAGACGACTTTGAGACAAACAAATGATGAAAGAATAAAAGGAAACAAACTGGTCAACTAGTCAACTGGTTTCAAGATTCAATTTGATTCGAAGATATAGTTGACACTTAATAGTATCCGTACCGGGTGAGGTAGATGTGCTGAGATCCTAGCTAAGTGAAGTAAGATTTCGTCTCTAGATTGTGATTGCCGGCATGAAAGACAAACCATACGACCCATTACTTCTAAATTCCCTCTCCGAGAATATCCATGGAGTGGCTCCTTTGAAGCGACACCTTAAGCAATAAACGGACAGAGAACGAACAACAGAAACAAATTATATTGAATATTTAAATAGAAATAATTTTTATTATGTATCCGTAGACTAACACCGTTTAATAAACATGTTGCTAGCTTTATTTACACTACAAGAACAATACATTGCATCGTAACAATACAGTAAACATTTCAGTAGTATCTTGCATAGAACTTGCAAATTTATACACGAAAGAGAAGCACTTATTCAAAACTTTATATATCATTGCGAAATATGGACATTCAAACAAGACAATATAAATAAATAAAAATTATTTGAACTGGGAATGCACACTGAATGCTGAATAAAGAGTTTTAAACAACAATGAACACAAGGTCATAGCAGATCCAGAATATCTAAATCCATGACACTACTTATCCGATCATAATATAATGTATTGAAAGGAATATTAACAATTTTAGTTACTTAGTTCAGCTAAGTAAGTGTAAATAGACATATAAATTAGAAAATGGACCATTTTGTCAAAATTTTAAATTGAAAATTGATGTAAAATCTCTCAATGGTAATGGAATTATAATTATGTATGCGCATTCCGAATATGCCAATGTTTCGCGGTCGAAATTTGCTTATTAATAGATAATCAATTAACTTTTTCTAAAAAACTATCATATCCTCTCCAAAACTACTCGGAATGACAAAATACATTAAATTTGAAACTAAAAACATGCGCATTAGACGACACAATTTGTCAACGTCAATCTCAAACAAAAACAATCAGCACGCTATACTCACCCTAGAAATCCTCAACGGCTGATTATGATCGACTCCACCATGCATGCGAAAACCCCACGGAGCACCACCTTCGAGCACGACTTCACGCGTCGTCATAGCCTACTCGTTGTAGAGACCACCGGTTACATTTGTAACAGTTCTTTTATAACTATTTTGTCAATATTGAGTTCATGCTGAATTTGACACGCCTGAATATTACACTCACTAATTTTGATTAAACGATTCGTTGGTTAGTACACTTAATAGACGCACATTTGGCGATACCTGCAAAAAAAAAGAATAATAAGCATTTAAAAGAAAGAACATATAATATTTGTTATATTTATTAATGCGTCAAAATACTAAAACATTTATTAATTAATAAAATGCGGAATAAGAACCTAGATCGATACAGACTGAGTAAAATATGTCCCTTAGGTAAAAATAAAAATAAACATATAAATGAAGAATGCGAAGAACTAGAGAGACATGCAAACCGGTATGAATCCCATGAGCTATACAACAAAGTCCGATATCTATCCAGGGATTTTAAACCAATCACACAAACAATAATGGATCAAAACCAACATATTATAAATGACGAGAAAGAGATTGCGGAGGTTTGGAGAAAATATTGTCAAAGTCTATATGCAGATGATCACCAGAAATGCAAAAATAAGTTGAAAAATACAAAATCTTCTGGCACAGACCAGATCACCGCAGAAGTTTTAAAAGAGACTGAAGATATTGGAGTAAATGTTATGCATATGATCTGCAAAAAGATTTGGGAAATCGGAGAGTGGCCCAACTACTGAACAACATCTACTTTCATCTCTATATTAAAAAAAGGAACTCCGCTAGATTGCAGCAACTACAGAACGGTAACCCTAATATCCCATGCAAGCAAAGTTCTACTTCATGTAATACATGAAAGATATCAGAAAAACAAGCGGAATTTGTTCCAGGAAAAGGCACAAGAGAACACATCCTTAATGTCAGACAGCTAATCGAAAAAACTCGTGAATTCAATACTCCTATGCTTATGTGCTTTGTGGATTACACAAAGGCCTTCGATAAAGTCAAATGGCAGCAGCTATGGTCCATACTAGCAGAAATGGGAACACCCCACCACTTAATTCAACTAATTAGAAGTCTATATGAAAATAATAAGTGCACAGTAAAAATAAACAACAACCATTCTGATCATTTCAGAACAGAGGCATGTATCAAGCAGAGATGCATAATCTCGCCAACTCTGTTAATATTTACAGCGAACACATTATGCGAAACTACTAGACAGATAGAGGGGCGGAATATCAGTAGGAGATCAAAAAAGCAATAACTTGAGATATGCTGATGACACTTTAATAATCTGCGGCAAATCAGGAAGAAATGGAAGACATAAAGAGATGTTTGGAGGAAAAAAGCAAAACATATGGTCTAAAGCTAAATAGGAGTAAACACAAAGATCATGATAGTAGACAGAGCTCGGAATAATCTTTAACACATTAAAGAAATTGAGGGCTTTGAAGTAGTAAAGACTTTCATATACCTGGCGGAGGGTGTGACGGAGAAATACGTAGAAGGTTGACTATTGCTAAAACAGCCATGATGAAGCTCATTTTTCCCATAGCCACATATGCATTCGAAACGTGGAACTTAAAGAAAGCGGATAAAAGTAAACTGGACGCTCTTTGAGAATATCCTGGATTGATTATTGCACTAACGTATCGATATTAGAACAACTCAAAGTAAAGGATAGATTGCTTAAACAAATACAACAGAGATATTTGCAGTATTTTGGACACATTTCTAGAAGAACAGGAACGATGTAAAAACTGATAGTCGAGGGTAGAGTTGAAGGAAGAGACCTAGGTGAAGATCTCCAAGCCGTTGGGTAAATCAAACAAAATAATGATTAACCAAGGGTAACATGAAGCTGAACCACTAGCCCAAAACAGAGAAGGAGGAAGGGAACATCCCAAAAGGGATTAGGACTGAGGAGGAGGTAAAAATAAACTAGCGGTAGTAAGCGCTGAAATATAGCCACATTCCCAAGTGCGACAGAAAGAACTAACGCAAAGCAGTGCCTGCATCTCTATCTAATAGGCCGCGTTTATCGACCACGTGACCTAAATGACCAATGGGAAGGTCACGGGTCGATAAACCGGCTCATTAGAAAGAAATGGAGGGACTGCTTTACAACAGTTTCTTCTGTCGCACTGGGGGGCACGGGTCTGTATTGCATCGCTCTTCTACTTCTATGAATTGACACACCTAAGGAGGCTTAAATCTGACGATGGATGGAATAGTTGTTGATGATGATGACCAGAAGATCAGTATCAGAAGTTCTAAAACAGATAAACATGCATCAAGAACTGCTAGACATACTGAAAAGGCAAAAAACAACTTATCTTTGGCACGTACTTATAGATACTTGTAGGCACCATATATATATATATATATATATATTTATATATATATATATATATATATATATATATATATATTATATATATATATATATATATATATATAACTTTTAATAATGGAAGTCAAGTCTAAGGGCGGCAAGGTGATGGTAGACTCCAAATTAGGTGGCTAAAAAACATCAAAGAAAGACTAAAATAGACATCCAATCACTTATAAAACAAGCCCAAGATGGAAAAAAATTGCAGAAATCATCGCTAACTTAATCTAGCACTAGAAGACGTCTTCAAATCTACAAATTACTCAACATATGAAATTAACGTTAATAGCAACAAGTTAAACTATCTTAAATTCGTTGACGACATCGTGAATGTAGCAAATACATTCGAGGAACTACAAATTATGATAGAGGAACTTGCAGACAGCTCCCAATACGACGGCCTAAAAATGAATATGATAAAAACAAAAAAAAATAAAAGACACAGGTGACCCAGACGTATAAATATAAATGGGTGTGAGATAAAACAAGTCCATGAATATATCTATTTTAGGTCAAATTCTGAAACTTAACAAAGAGAGCTAAAGTGCGGAGAGTACTAGAAGAGCATCAAATACATCAATACTTAAGGAGCAAAGTGTTCAACCAGTGCATCCTTTCTATCATGACATATGGATGTCAAACCTGAACCCTACCTAAGGCAAATATAGATTAACCACAACCTAAAGGACAATAGAACGACTGGGTAAGATTAAAAACAAATGTCGAGGATATCACAACAAAAGTTGCCAAACTCAAATGGAGCTTCGCAGGTCACAATGCTATATAAAAAGACCAATGTTGAAACACCGCAATAAAACATTGGAGTGCTAACAAAGGTAGACGATCAAGAGAGAGACCACAAAAATGGACGACAGAAGGTTAAGAAGAAGAAGGTGAGGATAATAGTCTAGATATGGCTGTAACTATGGCGTTACGAAAACTAAATGTATTTTGTGTATTATGGAATCTATGTGTATATGTATTAAAGATGACAAAACAAGATAAAATTAAGAATGGCTATATCAGGAGGGGTTTAAATTGAGATTTATAGATACGTAAGTTCCTGGAAATAGTAATAGAGAAAAACTAAAAAAGACCTGATAAGAGACGCTTGGGAGACGAACAGTAAAAGGAGGACTTAAGTAAATGTGATTGGTATGGTCCAAGATAGAAGCTTATGCTCTTCTGCTGACCTCTTTAAAGCAGCGGTCATCGAGAGATTAAGTTACGACTATATTAAGAATAAATAAAAGTTTTCTTAATTAGATACAATATTCAATGCAGAGAAATACAATTTAATCAACATAAATGATAGTTTTTGCCATCTGTTAACAGAACAAAGAACAAATACATAAGAAAGTCCAGGAAGAAGAAAGATAAAGGCACAGAAAAATGGAGCGAGTTAGAAAACATCTCGAGGAACACCATACAATAACAACTGGAGGGTGATACTTTCCCTAAAAGCAGACAATGCATAACACAAAAAAAAAACAAAAAAAAAGAAGAATGTGGAAAATATCATGGACACAACACATAACAAACACGGAAACATTAAGGAAGACGAAAAAGGAAAAAGAAATACTCAAAACTATAAAGAAAAGAAAAATAAGCTACATTGGTCACATACTAAGAAATGAAAAATATGAGTTATTGTAATTGGTTATACAATGGAAAGTGAAAGGAAAAAAGAGACCGGGAAGACGACACACTCCTGGTTGAAAAATGTAAAGCATTTTGGAGTGGAAAAACCACAATAGAGCTGTTCAGAACTGCTGCAGATAGAGTAAAATGAGCCGTGATGATCGTCAATGTGCTTAAAAGATGAGGTACGTGAAGAAGAAGAAGAAAATAGTCTTTTAAAAACATCCATAACAAAAAGGTCATAGAAAAAGGTTATGCAAAAAGAAACATTTTTGATTGAGAAAGTTAAGAAAAAGCTAAAATCAGAAAACAAATTATTACAGCCAAGTGTTTCTAAGATTTAAGTGATGGCAGTAAAAGCAATATCCTTAAATTTTAAGGATAATCATATTTTTCGAAACGATGTATGTGGTGCTCATAGAAAAATAAGAAAAATGTTTAGTTATGATTGTAATTAAAGTTCGAAAATAAGTAATACATACATAAAGGACCCAGCTAATATATACCTATTATTGAATATTGAGACTCATACTAAGAGTTTATAGTCCAAGAGTTGAGCAAAACATTATTATAACAATGAAAGCTTTTATCTTTTGTTTATTGTGCTTACTTACTATTTTTGGAAAGTTATTTTATAAAAGCATTATTTTTGATCTTATTAATTTCTTAACAATTTTGAACGTAACAGCTATAGCGTACACCAAATTACTTTTTACGTACCTTACTGTATAACTGATGGACAGAGAAGATATTTAACTTATTCGATGGTAAAAGTTTGTCATTGTGAGTATGACAGCAAGTTTCAAGGTACGCCCACCTCTACGAGCGACGTGCTCCGACGTCCTGATCGTCGTTGGGACGCCGCCAACTGGATGAATCCCTCACGATAGAGTCATAAAATCGGTGCGTTCCGATTGTCTGATGTTCATCGTTGAGGCGCACCATAGCATGCTTGATTTTGCACCGGCTTTCCAAGCCGTAGTCATCGATCAAAATAGACGTTTTTTGATGAGTAGATACAATGAAATTGATTTGGATTTTCTCCTCGGTATATTCGTTTAATAGGTCAGTCGGTTGCTGTAAAAAAAGAGAACAACGTGTTATTAATTTAAAAATATAGGCTTCCTTGTACTAAAAATAAATTTTTTTGAAGTATGTTTATTAAATCATTAAGTGAAATCGGGGAATACATTCAAACTATAGCTAAAGAGGTGCTTGAGTTTTTCTATCGATTTAATTAATGGATATGTCGGAAATACTTGACTGCAATAATTTGTTTACCATAAAAAAAAAGAATATAATAATAAGAAAGAAGAACGAACATAATTTAAACAGTAAGAAAATAACCAGGCCACTACGATATTACGTATTCTGGAAACCATCTATTATCCGTTCACAAATTGTTGAGAGCACGAAATGTGCCTCAAAGTCATAAAACGGTCGTAAAATTTGTATCATCATACTGGCGTTCCTGAGGTTTCTATTCATTAAAATTAATATTAATATTAATAATGTTTTAATACTAATATATTTAGCAAAAAACAATTAAAACTTTCACGGCTAATGTTGGTTATTATATTATATTAATAAAAATAAGAATTTAATCATTAACAATTTTGTAAATAAGAATAACTTATCTCTTTGTATATTTCAATATTAATCTTCGCGTTTAATCACTTTACTAGAAAACCTGGAATTCATATCCAAAGGTACTATTCGTTGCAATATAATTAGGATGGAATTCCCCAGATTTTTAATAATACAATGGGTATAAAGATGCCGGCTTTATTATATATAGCCAATATTGTTCTGAAGCTATTTTCTTGTGGCATTGTAAATTAATTACTATTTATAACTGGGAATAAGCCACAATTAAAGATAAAAATACGTTTATTGACGTTTCAATTTCCAATTCGGAAATCGTTCTCAAAATACAAACAGTAAATTAAACAAATTTTGTTTTTTGTTACATAGTGAAAAAATTCTTCTAATAATTTAATTTTATCTGACTCATTTATATTGACAATTCAGACATACATTATGCATTTTAAAGTAGACGACTTTAAAATGATATTGCCAATATTGTTGAGTTGCGCTCCTGGGACGACTTTACTTATAAGATAGTTCATTCGATTACATGAAATCAACTTTAACTTGAGAATATCCGTCAGAAAAAATCATAGCATGTAATTCGTCTTTAAAAAGACAAACACATGACATGATGACAGTAAAATTCTCCTGTTAGTGATTCCATAGTAAATTATGAGGGAAAAACCAGGAAAAAAACCTCATAATACTATCCCGACATTGTAAGTATTTGTTCGTGAATTTAGTTTTACCTTCAACAAACATCAAAATTCTGATTTTATATGTTACGTTATTTAAAAAACATAAATGATGTATCCTCTATATGTTACTGACTTACTAATACTGGTATTTTCTTATTAATAACTTCCTCTTTCAATATTGGTAACCAGATCCTACTACATTCTGCCGAGGAATTTGCGACACAATTGGCCTCATTTAGCATAATTAGAGCCGCTTCTTTGATTTTTCTTTTTTTACCATCCGTTTCTTTTAGGACTATATTTGAATTATTCCATTGAACCCTATGTTGATTATCCCATGCGTGTTTACATATGTGAGATCTATCAAATTCTCTATTTTTAATATAAGATGAATTTTTGAATTATTTTATAATAATGATAATAATTCTCTATTTTTGAATCATCAAGGCCATTAAATGTTAAATGCCTCAAATATGTAAACACGCATGGGATAATGAACATAGGGTTCAATGGAATAATTCAAATATCAGTCCTAAAAGAAACGGATGGTAAAAAAAGAAAAATCAAAGAAGCGGCTCTAATTATGCTAAATGAGGCCAATTGTGTCGCAAATATGTGTCCCCCTGTTATATGGAGTTGAGGCTTGAGACACTAAAACAGTTGACCATAAAAAACATCGAAGCTTTCGAGATATGGTGCTATAGGCGCATTCTCAGAATATCATGGATGGACCGCGTCACTAACACGCAAGTACTCCAAAATTTAGACAAAAGATGCGAAATTCTAAATGAGATAAAAACTAGAAAGATGGAATACTTGGGGCACATTGTGAGAGGTGAAAAGTACGAACTTTTAAGAAACATCATGCAGGGCAAAATTAAGGGCAAAAGAAGTGTGGGAAGAAGAAAAATATCGTGGCTTCGTAATCTACGTGAATGGTTCGGGTGTAGTTCGATTGAACTTTTCAGGCGCGCTGCTAACAAAGTCGCAGTGGCCATGATGACTTCCAATCTCCGCTAGGAGTGGCACGAGAAGAAGAAGAAGTGTCGCAAATTCCTCGGCAGAATGTAGTAGGATCTGATTACCAATATTGAAAGAGGAAGTTATTAATAAGAAAATACTAGTTTTAGTAAGTCAGTAACATATAGAGGATACATCATTTATGTTTTTTAAATAACGTAACATATAAAATCAGAATTTTGATGTTTGTTGAAGGTAAACTAAATTCACGAACAAATACTTACAATGTCGGGATAGTATTATGAGGTTTTTTTCCTGGTTTTTCCCTCATAATTTACTATGGAATCACTAACAGGAGAATTTTACTGTCATCATGTCATGTGTTTGTCTTTTTAAAGACGAATTACATGCTATGATTTTTTCTGACGGATATTCTCAAGTTAAAGTTGATTTCATGTAATCGAATGAACTATCTTATAAGTAAAGTCGTCCCAGGAGCGCAACTCAACAATATTGGCAATATCATTTTAAAGTCGTCTACTTTAAAATGCATAATGTATGTCTGAATTGTCAATATAAATGGGTCAGATAAAATTAAATTATTAGAAGAATTTTTTCACTATGTAACAAAAAACAAAATTTGTTTAATTTACTGTTTGTATTTTGAGAACGATTTCCGAATTGGAAATTGAAACGTCAATAAACGTATTTTTATCTTTAATTGTGGCTTATTCCCAGTTATAAATAGTAATTAATATAGCCAATATTCTCGACTTATATCTGATATATATTATTGCTTATAATACGTTCTGAGTTTCTAAGTACATGTTAAATAGCAGTGGAGGCAGAATGTATCCTTGTCTCACTCCTCTATCTATGGAGATTGTCTCATTCAAGCCCGCTCCTTTTAAAATGAATATAAGCTTGTCATGTTTATCTCTATTAAATGCCTTTTTGTAGTCGATAAAACAAACATATACATCACAGTTGACATCTCTGCACCTCTGGATAAGTAGTTCTAGGGCGCTTAAGTTATCGCGGAATCCAAATTGTGACCATGACACTTGTTCTTCACGTTTTTTATATATTCTGTTATGTATCACTTTTACAAACGTAATTGTCTTATTAGATGAATTATTCTCTAGTCTTGACATGTTTTTGCGTTTAATTTTTTTGGTATAGTTACGAAGGTCGACTTTAACCATCATCATCACGTAGCGCTACAACCCTGGGTGGGTCTTGTCTCACTCTACAACTGTTTTTCAATTTGTTCGGTCTTCCATCAACCTAGCCTCAAATGGAATGTTCATTTTCCGGAGATCTGCTTGGATGTTATCTCTCCGTCGCATTCTGGGACGTCCGAGTAGTCTTTTGCCTGTGGGAATCTCCTACCAAACCAGTTTTACAAGTCTCTCGCTATGCAGTCTGTGCACGTGGCCTGCCCATCTTAGTCGCTGTGATTTAATTTCTTGGACAATATCGGCATCGTTGTAGAGTGCTTTTTATTCGATATTGGTTCTGATCTTATACTGGTTTGTGGTGATGTCATGGTGAAGTCCGAAGATTTTTCTAGAATTTTTCTATCTAGAAAGTATTTTTCGTTCAAAGCGTCTGAGCTTTCTTCGTTTGTGTTGGTCATGGTCCACGTTTCGCTCCTTGTTGCTCCTTCACCTTGTTGAAAATGTCTATCGTGGATAGGCTGGAGTCTCCAACGAGATCTATGTCATCTGCATATGTGAGTAACAGCTTGGGACCTTGAACCGATAGCAATTCTGTTTTTATTTCGGCCGACCTCATGGCTTTTTTAAATACAAGGTTAAAAAGTAGTGGAGATAACGCATCATCATGTTTGAGTCCACTGTTGATTTCAAAGCTGCCAGACAGTTTATTATTTACACGTACTTTAGATATTCCACCCTCCATACAGACTTTGGTTATCCGAATGAGTTTCTTTGGTATTGAGAACTCCGCCATTGCATTCCATATTTGGCTTCTTTCTACGCTATCATATGCCTGTTGAAAGTCTATGAAAAGATTGTGTATGGGTCTGTTATACTCCCATCCCTTTTCTAGAAGTTGTCTCAGCGTGAATAGTTGATCTATTGTTGATCTGTTTGCCTAAAACCGGCTTGATATTCGCCTAGGACATTTTCAGCATAAGGGATTAGTCTACTAAGAAGGATGTTTGAGAGGGTTTTATATGCCGTGTTTTGGAGTGAGATTCCTCTATAATTCGCGTATTTTGTTTTGTCCCCTTTTTTGTGGATGGGCACTGTTATGTTTTCCTTCCATCATGCTGGTATCCTTTCTTCTAACCATGTGCGTTATTAGCTGGTGGATTTGGCGATGTAGTGCGTCTCCCCCATATTTCAGAAGTTCTGCTGGTATCTCGTCCGTACCCGACGCTTTGTGATTTTTCAACTTATTTAAGGACTTTTGGGTTTCTTCAAAGGAGGGATTTTTGACGGGCATGTTCGCTGTGATATAGACCTCTTCTTTATGCTGTCCTTCCTGTATGATATTGAGAAGGTACCTATTTTTTACTAATTTTCCATTCTTCAGTTACTTCTTTACCGTCGATTATCATACGGCCTTGATTGGCTCTCAGTGTATGGATGGAATTGGTTTTATGTCCTCTTTTCTTAGAGGAAATTGCTTTATAGAATTCTCTGGAGCCTGGTTTGAGCCGGTCTCTCTCCATAGCTTCATATTTTTGTTGTTCATAGTTTCTTTTCTTTGTGCGTATTATTTTTCTGGTTTCTTTTCGGCAGTCGTCATATTCCTTTTTACTTTGGTCTGTTTGCAGTTGTATCCAAGTCTTCCTTACTG